GGCAGGAGAGCAGCCGGCATCCTGACCCAGTTAAAAGGCTACAGCAAAGTTGTACCTTGAGCTGGGTGTTGAAAGTGTCCATTTCAGAGAGCTTGGAAGCCGTTTCTTTCTCGAGCGCTTCTAGCTGTTCTCCAAGTCTTTGGCACAGTCCCTCCTTTTCTGAGGACTTCTTATGCAGCGAGTTCAGTTCTGCATCTGGAGAAGAGACAGCAAACGCTGAATATGGATCTTTGCCAACAAACTTCTCTGCTTTATCTCCCCCCCCCTTCCATTTCCACAGCCGCTATATGGCTCACAGCTCTCTCCAACTCACACAGTCCCGTCAGCTAGGTCAAAGTTATTCCCATTTGAGAGTGCAGAAACTGAACGGGGATTGAGAGCCAGAGACTTGTCCAAAGATGCTCACTGAATCCATAGTTGGGCACAGAACTCAGCCCAGGGTTTACTCCACTACATTGGGACTCACAATGGTGTCACCATACGTTTGGGCATGATACCCTCACACGCTTCCTACTCTGAGCATGCCAATTTAATTACGTTTTCCCATAAGGTTTAGCAGGGGTCGTTTCGTAGAAAAAGAGCTAGGGGAACTCATTAGCATAAGCCACACCCCCTGACATCAGGGGCCCGGCGGTGGACCTGCAAGGCCAGCGGGAGTGCAAGGAAGCCCCGCGAAGGCCCTCCCTGGCCCCAGGCAGGCAGGGGTGGGGAGAAGCAGGGAGGAAGCAACTTACCCTCCCTCTTCTTCTGCCTCCTCCTGGCTGAATGAGGGCCGGAAGCGGGGTGGCCGGAAGCAGGGGGCGGGGCTTCGTCATGTGCCCCGCCCCCTGTACCTCACCCGGGGGAACTGCGATCCCCCGCGATCCCCCCGAAATGACCTCTGAGGTTTAGGAAATTGATCTGACTCAAGTTTGCACGGGCGGTGCTGCAAAGCGGAAACATTTTACCGGACCCCAAAACTTTGCTCCAACCACTATGGGATAGATGCAAAGGACGGCAGGCAAAGCTCCACTGATGGAACACATCTTTCCACCTCTTCTTCCCACTGCGGCCCCTGTATTTCCTGAAAAATGGCTCTTGGGGGCCAAGAGGATCCTACGAGCATCATGGGATAAGATCTGTGGGGCTGCCATGGGAAGATGGAAATGATCTCTGCATGGGTAGAAATGACATCCTTCCTTGATTCAGCAGCCCATGTCGCTATCCTTGAAGGCTGTGAAGGCCTCCAAGCTTCCAGGTGCTTGGTGTTCATCCCTACTCGACCACAGGTCTCGCTTGGTGGCCTTAGGCCAGAAACCCTCTCAATCTAACCTGCCTCACAGGGTTGTGAGAGCCAGCAGGGGTCATTTCCTGCGGGAGCGCACAGGAGCGGAGCTCCGGCAGTAAGGAGCCCAGGGGGCGGGCACATGCAACAAGCCCCGCCCCCTGATCTCAGCGGCCCTCAGTCGGGCCATGAGCAGCAAAAAGCAACCAGGTAAGTTGCAGAGGGGCCCCCCCCAGCCCACCTTCAGGTACAAACTCTCCCTCCTCTGTGAGGGCAGATCTGCGCGTCCCCCCGTCCCCAATAGCTAGCAATGCAAAACAGTCCAGTGGAGCCTGAGCGGTGGGTGTTGCCTTCTGAAACACTTCCGGTGATGTCAGGGGGTGTGGCATATGCAAATAAGTTATGCTAACGAGCTCCTGCACCTCTTTTTCTACGAAATGACCCCTGAGAGCCAGTGTTGTGCAGTCCCGCTCTGCCATGGAAGCCTGGGAAAGTTGTACCCTCTTAGGCCTAACCGACTTCACAGGCACATTTTGTAAGGATAAAACAGACGAGAAGAGAATGATGCGAGCTACTTTGGGTCCCCCCCTCTGGGAAGGAAGGTCGGGTATGAGTTAATAAACATAGAAATGCAGGGAAGAACCGTTTATGAGTTCCTGAGCTACTTGAAGGGTAGGATAAAAAACGTGATATGCAGGCATGGTTCTGGGGAGATGCAAGGGGCTGTAGTCAGAAGTGAGAGGAAGGAAAGCCATGATCTCCACGTAGACTCTGCTTGTGGTCTGTTGGATCCCATTCTTCCTGTTATCCAATTCCCCTGTCTTCACATGAAGTTGCCTTATACTGAATTAGACCCTTGGTCCATCAAGGTCAGTACTGTCTACTCAGACTGGCAGCAGTTCTCCAGGGTCTCAGGCTGTGACAGACAGTAAATGGTTAACCTGGTCTGAAAACCTTGAGTGACAGGGGATTCGAATGGACTTCTTCAGTTGATAAGTGGCAGTTAAGAACTGACAGCTGACTAGGAAGGAAGACTAAAGGAGTGAGAGGATCAAGAAGGATCCCCATTCAAACCTGAGGGAAACAGCTCCTAGAAAAAGGGGGTGATCCGTATCCAGTCTGGAGAGGATCAAGAGGGATCCTGAGTTGGGGAAGTTGGAAGTTTGCTTTTATTAACATTAAATGAGACTGACAAAAATAAAAACAAAAGGGGTAAAACCAGATATTGAGAATGATACTTATTTGTCCAATGCAGGGTTCTTTTTGTAGCAGGAACTCCTTTGCATATTAGGCAACACACCCCTAATGTAGCCAATCCTCCAAGAGCTTACAGTAGCCCCTGTAAGAAGAGCTCTGTAAGCTCCTGGAAGACTGGCTACATTAGGGGTGTGTCGCTTAATATGCAAAGGAGTTCCTGCTACAAAAAGAGCCCTGCGTAATGATTTTTATTTGTCTAAGAGAGAAAGAGAGAGAGAGAGGGGTGGAAAGAAAGAATGAAAGAGGTGGAAAGAAAGAAAGAGAAAAAAACACAGAAAGCAAATAGATGGGAGGGAGGGAGGGAAGGATGACTCCCGCTTGCTTCCTCAGCTGCCCAGCCAGGAGTCGCACAATGTGTGTGAAAGAGCCGCATGTGGCTCCCAAGCTGCAGTTTGGCCACCCCTTTGCTAGATTATGTAAGAAAAACTGCCAGAAAACCTTAAGATTTAAAGACCTGTCTGAATAACAGAAAGGGTTACTTGCTTGTGACAAATTATCTGGCGTTTATTTTTACACAAAGTTATCTCCTTCCTATTGCCTGCTCACCTCCTAAGTCCTAAACTTGATTCATACCTGACCGTTTCCCCTCAAAGTTAAATAAAACAGTTTGTTATTTTTGAATGACCATCAGCCTCTCATGTGCCATTATCAAACCAGGATCCCTCCCTTCAGTTTCCTAGGCTGGGTCAGCATCTCACAATATACATTCAAAGGACTGGGTGGGATAGCCAGAGAAAAACAAACAAGAAAAGGGAAAAGGGCTGCTCAGCTAAGAACAATATAAAGGAAAACCCGTGAGGGAAAAATCACCCAACAGTCAGAGGACTTTCCCATCACCTACCACCTGATCCTTTCAGCTGGAGACATCAGGGATTGAACCAAGGACCTTCTGAATGTCAAGCAGATACTCTACCACTGAGCCATGACCAGTGTTCCCTCTAAGCTGAGCTAGCGTGAGCTAGCTCACAGTTTTTTAAGAACATAAGAGATGCCAATGTTGGATCAGGCCAAAGGCCCATCCAGTCCAACACTCTGTGGCACACAGTGGCCAGAAACACCAGTGCCATCAGGAGGTCCACCAGTGGGGCCAAGACATTAGAAGCCCTCCCACTGTTGACCCCCCCAAGCACCAAGAAGACAGAGCATCACTTGCCCCAGAGCCCCTATCTCTACCTTGTGGCTAATAGCCACTGATGGACCTCTGCTCCATATGCTTATCTAATTCCCTTTTGAAGCCGTCCATGCTTGTAGCCGCCACCACCTCCTGTGGCAGTGAATTCCATGTGTTAATCACTCTTTGGGTGAAGAAGCACTTCCTTTTATCCGTTCTAACCCGACTGCTCAGCAATTTCATGGAGTGCCCACGAGTTCTTGTATTGTGAGAAAGGGAGAAAAGTACCTCTTTCTCTACCTGCTCTTTCCCATGCATAATCTTATAAACCTCAATCATGTCACCCCTCAGTCGTCGTTTCTCCAAGCCTCCGGCTCACACATTTCTGTCTTAGCTCAGGGAGGACTGGCGCCAGTTTGGTGAAGTGGTTAAGTGCGCGGACTCTAATCTGGGAGAACCAGGTTTGATTCCCCACTCCTCCACTCGCACCTGCTGGATGACCTTGGGCAAGCCGTAGTTCTGTCAGGGCTGTTCTCTGTCTCAAGGGCAGTCCTTGCAAGAGCTCTCTCAGTCCCGCCTACCTCACAGGGTGTCTGTTGGGGGGAGGGGGAGGGGAAGGAGTTTGTAAGCCGCTCTGAGACTCCTTCGGGTAGTGAAGGCAGGGTATAAATCCAATCTCCTCTTCTTCTTCTAATTTATGCTGTAACCAAATCACTTGCTCACAACTTTAATGCCAGCAGCTCACAGAGTAGAATTTTTGCTCACAAGACCCCACAGCTTAGAGGGAGCATTGGCCATGACCCCTCCTGGATATTCGTCACGTAATTTCCTGGGCTTGTGGATTTTCTACATTCCTAGGAAATTCTTTTCTTGCCATACAACCCAGCCAGTCCATTTCCCACTTTGCCCTTTTAGAATTTATCTCACCACCGGCCTCTCTCCCCCTTCCTTATCCCTTCCTATCATCTTAAGAAGTTTTATAGTTCTTCATTCCACAGCGATCAAGGAACAAGAGAAAAGGTACAAATAAATTTTCTTTAAGGTACTTACTAGGCGAGTTGCCCAGCTGCATGTGATTTATCCTCTCACTCAGCTGCTGTTTTTCTGGAACCAGGAGGAGGAGCTTGTTCTGATATTCCTGCAAAGAAGAGGGGCAGCTTTTTAGAAAGGTATCATCATTTCTTTGTGGCATCATCTATAAAATGCTTAAGGTTGGCCGGGCCAATTCATTTTATATGACGCGATAGAGAGAGAGAGATAGACAGAGAGAGAGAGAGAGACAGAGAGAGACAGAGAGAGACAGAGAGAGACAGAGAGAGACAGAGAGAGACAGAGAGAGACAGAGAGAGACAGAGAGAGACAGAGAGAGACAGAGAGAGACAGAGAGAGACAGAGAGAGAGAGAACACTGTATTTTCCAAGAGCTCAATAAAAATGCGATCCAATATAAATATAAAAACAAACTACAACCGGCACATCCGAAACACTGTCTTCATCGCATTAGTCCACCAGGGATGATTTTCAGCCAATTCTCTGATATGATTCCTGACATTTGTACTGGTGGCTGTGCTTTTTGCCCTGACCTGATCAGATCTCGGAAGCTAAGTAGGGTTAGCCCTGGTTAGTAGTTGGATGGGAGACCACCAAGGACGTCTAGGGTTGGTATGCAGAGAGAGGCAGTGGCAAACCACCACTGTTCATCTCTTGCCTTGAAAATCCTATGAGGGCGCCATGAGTCGGTTCTGACTTGATGGCATTTTACAGACACACAGCTTTTTTAACTCGACAGAAGCCCATTGAAATTCCAGAGAACTTGGCTGGATACTTAAGCATTTTATATTAGACTGTCTTTTTGTGATTTGTTTCTCTCAAAGGTCCACTTAGGAAAATATCCATTTAATATCTTTATCACTAACTTATTTCATTTTTACAAGCTCATTTGTGGCAATACACAAGGTACAATCTGTTTAACCCAGTACATAATATTTAAACAATAGTAAGCTTACTTTGGGTTGTGTGTGTGAGAGAGAGAGGGGAATTATTGGTATGGAACATAAGAACGTAAGAAGAGCCCTGCTGGATCAGACTGGTGGTCCATCTAGTCCAGCATCCTATCTCACACAGTGACCAACCAGTTCCTCTGGATGGCCGACAACAGGGCATAGAGGCCAAGGTTGTCCCCTGATATTGCCTTTGGGCCCTGGGATTCAGAGGTTGACTGCCTCAGAACATGGAGGTGCCCATGTTCAGAGGCTTCCGATGAAGGATCGCCTAGAACTTACTGGCAATCGATGAAAAAAATTAATTCAACAGAGGTAATGCCAAGACCACGGCCACACATCCCGGAAAATCTACAGCAACTAAAGAGGTAATAAGTGTTCCCATTTTGTCACTAATTAATAATCGTTTGGCACTATGTGTCGTGTAGCTAGGAGATCCTAAGATTGTCTGGCAGCAGGAAGTTCTCGCTCTTTTAGCGTTATGCACCACTAGGTGGTGAGCTAGACTCGTTTTTAAGGCAAGAGACATTTCAGAGGCGGGTAGGGTTGCCAAGTCGTACCTCATCCTGAAGCGGGGGACTCCCAGGTCAATCCTGGCGCGCACATGTGCGCACGCTGCATCCACTTCACCAGGAAGTGACGCGACCACGCCGGGCACACTGGGGGCGGGGCCACGACCATCCGAGGGAAAACCATAGAGTTTTCCCTCGGATGACCGTGGCCCCGCCCCCAGCATGCCCGGCGTGGTCGCATCACTTCCTGGTGACGTGCACATCGGGGTGGAGTTC